ACACACACACACACACACACACACACACACACACACACAAAAGTGCCTCAGGTGTCAGAGAGCACACAGCCTTTTTAAAAACATAGAATCAACAGGCCCCTACCTGCAATTTGGTGGTGGGTCCAAAGTTATCTCTGCTAGCTCCTTCTGGATCCTGAAACGAGATGAAGATCTGTGTTATAGTCACGAGTTCAAACAAACACACATGCCAAACAGTTGTATAAATCCTGACTGTAAAATCAATCTGCGAGTGTGCACACAGAATACCTCATTGATTTTCTAATGAGCTCCACAGCACTGTGACTGAACACAGGAATAAGTCCTGTCACACAAGATCAACACGGGGATGCGCAGCCGAGTATTTGCCATTTTCTACCCCACGTGAGTATAAATTGATTTTGATGTCAAAAGGCCATGTCGGATAACGGAATCGTATCTGATATATCAGGGTAAATTAATTTTGCTGCAGATCACCATGCTGTCTCAGCCCTCATGTTATCAGGAAGATGTTGGCTGCTTTTCCACACTGAGCACATTAAAAAAAGGTTTGATGAATAGACCCGGGTTAAGAATTCATTACATTACTTTGCCAGTGATTTGCCTACAAGGATCCCGTAGCCAGGTGTTTTACTTCACAAGCAGCCGATCAGCTTTAGATGCTGCTGTCATCCTCCAGCACATTTCATGTAAAAGCTTGAATGTCGGGGTCTTGTTCACAGGTGAGGGGAAGAAATGGAGTGATGGCGACTGACGATGTGCAACTTTCCAGGTTCCTGAGCACTTCAGGGGCTGGTCGTCCACGTAGGTTAGCTAAAGAGAAACTGGGCAAACTGTCTACTGATGAAGATCACAATGTGTAATCTAGAGCTCAGAGTAGTTACTAAAAGAACCTTGGTATTAGATCAACTAGTGTTTCCCAGGAATTAACATTGAACATAAACTAGAAGGTCATTCAGTAGAGCTCATACCTACGCCAAGGCCGCAAAGTCCCCTTATGAAACCATCATGTCCTCACAGTCTCACAAGTCTGGACTCCAGAATCCAACTTGCCATGTTCGCAAGGACACAAGATCAAACACGGCATATTCTGTGCTGAGAAAGACCTTGAGAGATTTTCTATATTTTTCCATTTACCCCCCTCTTCTATTCCTTTGTGTCTTATTTTCACAGTTCCCTGCTATAAGTAAAAATGCTCAAGGATGCAATAATAACAAAGAAGGAAAAAGAGGAAATAATTGACTACTCTTATTGATCCTGCAGTCTGTTAACTCAACTGTTTGTTAGCTGGCTCATAAAAAATGATTTGCTATTGCGAGAGAGAGAGAAGAAATGACATGATATATTATTTCTGCATCGACGTGGCAATGAACGGTTGTGGGATAGTTATGTGATGCTTACTGACATTACACTAAACTCTTAATTTGTTGAAATGCTAATCACACTGGAGGAAAAAAAAATACACTAAGTGTGTCTGCAAGAAGAGTTTAAGTATCAAAGCAATGCAAACACAGTTATAGCATTAACATTAGAAGAACAAACTCACTCCATATTACAGAATCATTTGCTTCAGATTTTTGGTTTCTCATTTTGAGATGCAGGTACTATAACATCTTAATTATCGTCTGTTTCCCTGCGAACCACAAGCATGCGGATGGAACCGTCCTTGTACAGATTGGTAGAGCTGGGGAACTTCATTTTCTTGTACTTGTTTCTGATATACAATTGAAGATTTATTTGGATCTGCACCAACTTGCAAACAGCAAAAACCAGTCCCTTAAATATGCCTGATTTTTTCCATCAAGATCCATTATCTATTCTCGGAGAAATCAACAATGTTGCAAAATGCTCTGTCTCGCAATGTTGCAGTACAAAATTATTCCTAGATTGGCACTTGAATACAGAAAAAAGGTTCTTCACTGGACCATACCAGACCCATCCACCAAGTTTTGTGGTAAACTGTTTGCATAATCCTGCAAACTAAAAAACAGAAAACGCAGACAAAAACATAAGCTCTTCAGCAGAGATGACAATGGCTGAAGTTCTTACAGACTGTGGCAAGGGAATCATGTGGATGAAAAGTTCCAGTCATGAAGTGGAAAAATGCAGGTGTAATTGGTGTCTACTACGTATACAATGAATTCCACTACTACTACTACTGCAAATAAGCAAGCCAACCATTATGTTTTATGTTTCTCGTTTAGGGACAAAGCACATAAATTATAATAATTGGTTAGATGAGACAGAGATCATTATAACAGTAACCCCATGCTTTCTCATCTCTGCAGAGCTGGGAAATCATAACCTGGAGTAGTTATGGGTATCAGATCTGTTCCTGAGACACTAGAAAAATGGATGGACACAATTTCCCCTTGTCTAACACTGCAACTGTGTCGAGAGTAAAGGTTTCCAAGGGTATTCAGATATCCTACCAGCAGTTCTGACTGTGAATAATAACACATCAGCAGTTACAATCTGTAAATTAAAAATTATTCAACCACCCAAGCAGCAGAGTATAACACCTGCTTCATGGTTTTCTCACTAGGTATATAATATATGCCTACATAGTGTGTTTAATATATATGTTATCTTGTGAACAAAATGTGAGAGAGGTTTGTCTGTACCCATCTAATCTCTCTAAATTCCAGATAGCTCAGTGTGTTCGTAAGTGTATGTAAAAGATATCTCTAGAATAGATTAGCTTCACACTTGTTTTATTAAGTCCAGTGTGGAGCTTGGTGTGATTAATTTGTACATGCAATACTGTCAATATTAATATAATTTGAATAAACAGATGACCAGTGCTCTGTAGCAGTGGTGGTTGAACTTATTAACATAAGTGATGTTGCTGATCACAACAGAAGCGTGTTGACAACAATGGGGGGGCATTCACGACAAAGGCAATCACACCTGTTTCCCCAGTTCTGGGTTCTGTGTAGAGCGAGTGGAGCTTCACCATACTTTGACCAAACAGACTAAACAAGGTTTCTGTGGACTGAGTCCAGCAGCACGTCTTTATGGCTGTGGCTTTACTACTGCAGGTCACTGTTACAGCTTCACATAAAAAAAAGCTGTAACCAGCATCACCACAGGCCGAGCAAACCGGCAGGTTTATAACAGGCACTAAACTGCTTCTGGGAAATGTAAAAAGAAAACTGTAACAATAGAAAATCAGCTAAAGACATGAATGTGCAAATAGTCAATTACCACACTTCATGAGTGTCCATGGATTTTCCTTTTAACTCTCCTCTGTGTTGCTGTGACTGCACACGACTCACTCGGGGAAGAGGAGGGAAAAAAGACATATATTTGCAAAGAGCCTGTAATACAATCTCCACAGTTATGGAGTCATTCTCAGCATGAATGCTTGCTGTGTAATTTTATCTGCAATACTTCCTGAGGTGGCACATTTTGACAGCTGAAGCCAGAGACCTGTTAGTGAGAGTTCTGCAATGAATGAGGCCTTGGGAATCCAACAGGAAAAGCCCTGCTTATACTGTGGCTTCATCGTGCTCCTGCACGGACTCTTTAACCAAACACTTACATTTTCTGATGTTCCACAGCTCATTGCATTTGATAATCCCTCGAGACGCTGCATGCACTAAACTATTACATTCTGCATGCGTCAAAAAATAAGTCAATATCATCTGAGCATATCTTTTAGAATGGATAGCACAAGCTTTGGCTTGTGTGTAGCAGCGAGTGATATAAAACATGAACTAGAACAGAGAGCAGCTAAATAACAACTATGTCTGTCAACCCTCCTATAAAATGGCAACCCTGGAGCTCCTTATTCTTTTATACTGTAGCCATCTCTGGTGATAAGAAGTCGTCGCTGTCAGATGTGGCTGGAGGTTTAAGGGCAGGCATCATATCCTTTGTGCCAGAGGAGAAATACCGGGAGCCGAATGTTTACAAGAGCAAACACAGAGGCTTTCTCTAAAGTGGTCCTATAGGAGCCAGTGAGTTTGTGACATAAAAATAGTCATTGCAGAACTTAAGTATATAAATGTAGGCAGACAGTTGGGATTTAGTTTTACACCATAAAAATAAACTGTACAAATATTCCCATTATGGTGGGGAAAGAAGGGCATTTGTTTTTTACATAACCCATAAAGTCTTTATGCCTCAATTAATGCTTGTCATGTGGTAGAACAGGGTCTTGAACTCCTCCCGCTGAAATGATCCAATATAAGAATTGAGGGGGGTGAGGGGTGGGGGGGATCCGTGTTCAACATTAACTCCTTTCACAAAGGTGTTGCAAACAGGGAAGGTCTAACTTCTAGCTGTCGTAATAACGGCAATATTGCAATACATTGCTATTGACGTGCCAGCCACAGGGGATGGCAAGCAGCCACCTCTACTGATGGTTTCGAGTTTCTTTTTTTCATGACGATAGCTCTTTCTTGTTTTACCACTTCAATGCCTGGGCACAGAATGTTAACACCCTCAGGTTGCTGCAGCCTGGAAACTGGGAGAGAACTCATCTCATGCTTTGATTCAAATTTCTGTAACAGATTTATGTAGACACTTCTGCAGCGCAATGTTTTTCTGTTAAAGTGAGCCTTTGTTTGCTATTATGGTCCTTTCAGAGGCTGGTGAAAGTCAATAAATCAGTGTCGCATGTGCTTACTCCTGTACTATTTACAGTAAAGCCAACTTTAATTGTGCTCTGATTAATGAAAATACCTTTGTTGTAACAGTAAAGCTTATTTATACAGCATTAAAGTCTGAAGAAATGAAGAAATGCAGCTAATAGTGTACACTCTGCTTATGAGCCAACTTAAATCACAGCAGGGAAAATCCCTTCACTATGACTACCCTTAAGTGACCTGTCTCATTCAATATATAAACCATTTCCGACTACTTATAATATTTATAAACCAGTGCAGCACTAAGAATGCCTGCTAGAAAAGGATTTCTGAAAGTGTGCACATCTGAACAATTTCTATAACAGACTTCTGGCCAGATAACACATCATACAAACAAGCACTTTTCTTTTCCTGATTGTGGCTGTGTGGAACAGTTACAAACCCTTTGGTTTCAAACGGAGTCAGATGACACATTGGACAATTTGTCTATTTCAACATAGTCTGGCCTTTACGCTGTGTTCACACCAAATGCAAATTTTCCAAGCGGTTAAACACAAAGTCATAGATTCAAATTTTTCACCTCTCTCCCTGGGCGACACAAATGACACAAATGGTCCAAAAAGCGCAAATGATTGTGTCATTTGCATTAGAAACGACGGTCAGACTGGATAAAAACCTAATTTGATCTTTGTCAACACAAATAATGTAGGTGATTATTTGCATATAGGATCGGATCTCAGGATCAAGTGTGACCAGAGCCAAATTGTCCTGACAGAACTGATCTTTGGCACAAGTATAGTTCAAGTAACTGCTGGTGTGCCAGGATAAACTGGTTACAACTGCTTGTCTGATTGTCAAATAGCTTTGGAACTCCCCACCCAGACACATTTCCAACATTACATTAGGAGCTGAGACCCACCATTTCCCCTAACTTTTGAAAACCAAGATAGTGAAATATTTCATTCCGTCATTGGCCAGCAGTGCAGAGATGAGAGAGGAGGTTTTGAACTTCTCTCTCACGCTCTCTTTTTCCATTCATTATAGAACTGTTCCAGGAGAGACACTGAAACTGTGCACAGTTATAATGAGAAATGATACCTTGCCCCCATCTCTGTGAAGGCCTTCAAGCGTGGCTGGTTGGAAGACCTACAGACACATCTGGTGGTTGGATAACACACCATACAAATCATGTCAATGACCTCCATCTTACAAGCACAACTGACCACTAAAATCTTGCTCTGTTGTCAATGGTGCACTATTTCACAGTTTTTTTAAAGGCACATTATCAAGATAGTAAGATGCACCTTCATTACATCGGAGGGTGTACACTGTGCATGTTACACACTGTTTATGTACAAAGTGAAAGCGCACAAACTGAGAAATGTTGTTCATCTCTGGCAAATCTGCCATGAGTAATTCAGGTAGAGTGAATATTCTGTATTTTTGCTTCATAAATAACTTAAATGATGAAAAACTACAGAGTCATTTTGATTCTTTTTCTGTACAAGCACAGAGAATCACAAGTTAAATGCTCACTGTTCCCACTGACGGATGATTGCTTTCAAAGTCAAAACTCAACATAGCAGCGAGGAAGGACAGAACAAGCAAGTCGCAAGTGAGCAGTGGAACAAAGCGATTGGGGCAGAGCAGGCAGCAGAGAGCACAGACTATAAGACGATCAGAGCAGGGACTATACCTCTTGGCGCTGGTGGAGAGCTTGGCAGCGGTCTTGCTGGAGATTTTGGCCTCCTTCTTTTTGGGCTGGGTCTGGTCCCGCTGCTCGGGGCCCGACTGTTCCGGAGGAGCCGCTTCCCTCTGCTCAGCGTCCGAGCTTCCCCCACTGGTGTTGGGGCTGTCGTCCGGCCTCGGCTGCACCTCACTGGACATGCTGACACTGCAAACACACAGGCGGCGTAAAGCACATGCGGTGTAAAGAAAAGACACACAACCAGAGAGGGTCTGAGCGTCTCATCAGAGGGATGAGTCCATCATCAGGATGTGTCAATTCTCACACCTGCTATTCTTACAGAATCCACTGTAATCAACAGGGATGATGTTAATGTCCTGACATGATTTTAACTTACTGCTGACACAATTATTTTCATTAGCCATTAATAATCTCTGTATTGCTTTTTCCATGTTTTTTTACAATAGTGCAGCAAATCAGATGTGTAGAGTTTTTCATAAGGAGGAAGAACATGTATTCAATATACTTAGGGCTAATGATTATTAAATTAAGAATTATACTGCAGTTTATTTTGTTGACAAAGAGAATCATGCTCTGATTTATAAACACCAATGTCTATTAGATATAAGATACTTAAAGCAATTTCCCTGAGCTAAAAACTCACACGGCAAGACACACATCTATTCAAAAATAGAACACCTTTTCACAAAAGAACAGAGAATATTTGCCTGAAAAAAAGGGGCTTTTCTAACCTGAGGATCTGGGATGTGTCATTGTGTCTATTAATCCATCATCAGGAAATTAATAGCAGATATTCCCTGGTCCCAGCCTGTCAAAATCCGACATTTTCTGGCTTCTTAAGAGATCAAGCTGAATATCTATTACTTTTTGGTTCGGTCAAACCAAACGAGACATATTGTTAATAGAATGAAAATCACCAGGGGCTCTGGGAACCTGTTAGGGGCATTTTACAGTTATATATTTTATGCACCACACGATGAATCACTCATACATGCAAAAAACGACTGAATCAATGATGAAAGCCGTCATAAGTGGCAGCTCCACAGGGATACCTATAGAGGTACAGTTTAATATGTAAAACACAGACCACAGATCCTCAGAATCAGCTGAGTTGAGCATCTGTTGGTCATATGTCTCAATGATGTAAGACACAAAGAAGGTCATCATCTGTCTCGCTCTCTCTCTCTCTCTGTGCGTGTGTGTGTGCACGCCAACCTCAAGGTGAAGGCCTTTATTTACAATGCCAGGTCTGGCCGTATGAAAAATGTATGACAGATGAGCAAATGTGAGGGCGGAGATGAATATGAAATTGGGCAGAAGCGAGGACAGACTGTTCGATAAACATGACAGCGGCTCTGGCAAGCTCACTCTGCCTCTGACATTTGACTAACAGCACTGCGTGCGCAATCTGATGCAATTATCTGCATTTGGTGGTGAGTTGATATGGGGGATAATGGGTTGGGGTGTTAGGATAGCACACGTGGGGCATTATTCCAAAGGTTAGGACTCCCACGTGCTCTGGGGAATGGTGTCCCTCTCATGGTGCGCTGGGCGGCTGTGACTTTGGAGGAAGCGGATTGTCTACTAAGCAGAGGGATGGTGGCTCGATCCCCAGCTCCATTCCACATGCTGAAGAGTCCTTGGGCAAGACATTGAATCCTGAATTGCCCCTGTCAGCTGTGCGTAAATTATGTGTTATAGAAAAATGCATATATGTTTGTAATATTGGTGAATGTGACTTGTACTGTAAAGGGCTTTGTGTGGTCAATAATCACAGACAATAAAACTATTATTATTTCTGTGTGGGAAACGATGCGTCTCCAGTTGTCAGGTGTACACAGCAGTATACTGTGTCACTGTATCTTGCCTCCAGAGATGGGGCAAATGTGTGTTTTATTGCCCCTTTAGGTTTGAAACTGTTAAAAGAAACACCTCAATCACAACTGCCAACCTTAGGAAAGGATTCTTTGTGTTAGTGAGCAGACCTGATAGAATATCACACCCCACAGAGGGAGAGAGCAGCCATAGTCCATATCATGACAAATTCCCTTATCTCTAGGCAATTAGCAAAATGCTGCCTTGCAAGACAAACACTTTTTATTTCACTTTCAGTATTTTTTTGCTAAATAGGTAAATAAATACATTTAAACTTTTTCATTTCGCCCTGTAAGTCAAACTCACATATTTAAGTGGGTATGGTTTATACCATGTTTAGAGTATACCTGGCAGCTCTGACCGAGAAGTTTAAATTCGCCTGAATTCGAGTGCAGTTTGGTGCAGTGGGTGTTCACCGAATTTAACGTTGGCACCTAATGACTTTAAAAGCCTGTGATTTTATTGCTGTTAAGTGCGTAAAAACGTGTTTTACACGAGGAAGCGTCTAAAATGACTGATATTTGGAAGGAGTTCGGGAAGGCGCGCTGTTTGGAGTCGATCTGGAGCAGAAAAAGGCACGCGTCGAGGTGGTGAGGGTGGGGGGGGCGGGTAAGCTGTCGAGGAGCCCCCGGTCCCATGTTCTTCTCGCAGTCTTATCAGTAACAGTTAACAGGGTACGTCTTTGTGAGAACGATCCGACACCCAGTCTGAGAGCACAAGCGGAGCTCTCGGTGACCACCGCAAAATCTGCTCCGGCACAAAAGACAGAATACCCCCCCCCCCTCTTCCTCTCTCCCCCCCACTCCCCCTTTCTCTCTGTCTTCCCAACCAACCACCGCCGCCCCCTCCCTCCACAAAGATAACGTAATACACCTTTATTCCGTTGGCAGACTTGCGCTCATGTGGAGCACAAGACGGCGGGCGGCTCACCTCTGTAAGCGGGCAGGGCGCACAGCGGCAGGAGAGACGAGATGTGTTAAATGTCCACAGTTTGTTCGGTAATCCGCTGCACTGGCCGTCCGCTGCTCCCCGTGTCCGCTGCCTTCACTGACTGCTGCTGCTGCCGGAGAATGTGCGCCGAGCCGCGGCCGTCAGGCTACACGAGGCTACAGGCGCCGTTTCCGGTGGTAGCTGGTAAAATAAAAGCCCGAGTGTTTATTTTTGGAGCACAAACATGAGCGTTTTAAAGAGATAGTTCACCCCAAAATAAAATGAATTCATTATCTACTTACCACTATGCCGATGGAGGGGTGGGTGAAGTGTTTGAGCCCACAAACCACTTTTGGAGTTTCAGGGGTAAACAGCACTGCAGCCACATCCGATACAATTGAAGAAAATGGTGACTCCTTCTTCAGACATAGCAAGTGGGAGTGTTGATGAAGTTTCAGACAAGCCACAGAAACATAATAAAAGCGGTGTCTTATACGTTGAAGATACCAACAAAGATCTCAAGAGAGTTTATGATGCCATTATCTATGTGCTGTAAAAAAAAAACATATGATAGCTACAGCAGAATTTATACGTAAGCCAACATCCTGCCTCTGCCTGCTGCTCCACCCTTCACCTGAACCCGTGTCCTCATGAGTTCATGTCTTAAAAAGGCGATAGTGATTATTTATGTGGATGTCCAAAAGTCCACTATAGGTTTCCACAGTTCTTTGAATTCTCCTGCCTTCGTTCTCATAATGTAAGTCAGTCTCTCCAATTTATTTGCAAGATGCTGTCTCCTTCGCCCATAGATTATTAAAGGTAGATCAATTTATTGAAAGACGTTCTGTGGATATTTACAAAGTACACACAGTTTTGATTGGTAAGGCACCTTCAGTCCAACAGTCTAATTTATAGTGTTAAAAACCATTTTCCAGTATCTTTGTAATTTTGACATTTCCTATACACAGTGGAACATTGAATCCATTCTTTTCGAACATTTCACACAAGTTTACAGGATATCAGGGGACCAGCGGTTCAGTTTGACTGGGGTAATGGCTGTAGGAAATTATTATCTTTGGGCTACTATTGTGCACCTTACTGAATCAGAAAGTGTGCATGGATGCTGGACAAATGTAAATTGTGGCCCCTTTATTTTCCCAGATTTTGAAAAATCCTAGCTCTGCAACTGGCATATTTTTATAATAAACATATTTGCACAGCTATTTGCGTGATGAAAAAAGCACAGGCATGTCCATGCATCTGTTATCTACTCATTTTAATATCATGACATGCAAAGTCTATCTCTTTCGAATGTAGTTTTCTTAAAAGCTTATGTTGTTACATTGTGGTCCGGTTGTAACATGATCACAAATTTTACTTCATCTCCTTCAACACACTTGTTTTTTCTTTGGGGAACCAGATTCCCAAAAATCATAACATATGCAAACTTGAAATAATGATTAATATAGTGGCTTTTTCCAAATCTAAATAGAGCAACAACTATTAACTACTTCGACATCTTAAATATAACATTTCAGTCAATTTACACTACTCTCCTATCGTTTTAGCTCAGTCTTTTTCTTGTAGAAAAAAGAGCTAAAGCACAAAATTTGGATTCAGCTATGAAACGCTTAGTCTATTTGATTATCATGAAATCAAAAATAACTTGCAATCGAGGGGAGAGTGATGTGTGAAGCCAACATCCTCCTCTCCATTTTTGCCCACAATACAGCAAATCATCACACAACCCCACTTTGGGATCTTTTAAAACCAAACCAAGCGAACAACGTATTTTATTCTTAGGTGGAGAAATTCAACTTCCGGTTTTCTCTTTTTTACAGAAACTTGACCAGGCAGACCTCCTCCGTGCGCGCTCCCAGGCGAGTGCGCGCAGAGCGTTACGGCAGGCTTTGATGATCGTAGACTACAAAGGAAGTGGAAATGAGAGGGAGATCATGCTGCCTGTCAACCCGCCGCATCCTGGAAGTGTGCATTAAGATTCCAGAGGCAGCCTCCTGCATTTTTAATGCTGTTCAGTTAACAGAGCTGCAGCTGATCATGCCTCAGCTCCGGTCACACACAGCTGTGGAGGGCACGGGCCCAGATGTTGACCCCATTATCCAATCAATTCAAAGCACTGGGGCTTGTCAATGATCAGTAAACACATCAATATTAGAATGTACTAATTATAAACAACAAAGTGACATTCCTCGAATTCCATCATGATGTGATTGTCTTGAGCAAATAAATACAAATGAAATGACATTTTCAAAATTCCGTTGTCTTTATTTGTCCCCGGTCTGTTTTTCCGACCACGCTGCGGAACTCTTTTTCCCGTGGTTTATGTTTCCCTACGCCGGGTACGCTGACGGACGCTGGCTTCCTATCATGCGCCATTGAAAATAAACGTAGCCCACACGGCGGCGGCTACTTTCTTTCATTTCTCTAGCAGTCAGTCAGTGGGCCTGTTTTACTCTGAAGTAAAGGTCCGACACCCTCTGAGACGATGGAGACTATTCTGGAGCAGCAGCGTCGCTACCACGAGGAGAAGGAGAGGCTAATGGATGCGAAAACTAAAGAGATGTTACACAAGAAGTCCACGGTAAGATTAGCGGTTTATGCTAGCTTTAGCGCGACTGCTAACCTAACGCTGCAAACACAAGAGACGTCTGCAAACTGAATGGACGTTTTAAAGTGGACATGTGTTCTTTTCGTTGCAGCTGCGGGAACAGATCAACTCTGACCACCGAACAAGAGCCATGTTGGATGTAAGCAAGTTTTGATGAGTTTTGATTTGGCATAAATACCGACCGGCTAACGCTAGCACCGGCTACAAGTTAGAGAGGTAGAAGAAGAAGGGATACTTTATTATTGATCCCTCAAGGGGAAATTCTATTTTAGCCTTCTCTTGCGTTACAATTTAAATGCGAATGTTTCAAATATAACCCAGTATCATGCTATTCTATAAAACTGCTTTACAAGTGAAAATGTAGCTAGTAAGAAGAGTGGACCACCAAGAATCTCCACCGTAAAAGCGATCACTTCCATGCACTTCCATCACAAGATGCTTGAATGCACTTCACTATAAACTTTGTTCGTATTTGTAGAATCTACTGGACTATTCGTCATTCAAGTGATCCACCAAAAAGCTCCAACTGAAGGGAAACGTCCATATCTGATCGATAACCCCTTTATCTATGCATCTATCTATGCACTTATTAGCAGCTTGATGTTTAAAGTTAAGTCGTTTAAATAATACACTTACCTTTGTTAAGTGAAACAGTGATGTGGGAGGGTGAAACTCAGAAAAACAAACCTGTGTGATTCCACTATGTTAGTTTATTATGGCTGCTGATAGTCTGTTCATCTTTTGACAGAGGTATATGGACGTGAGCTCAAATCTCAGAGACTCCTACGAAGATAAAGATGGGTAAGTCTTCTTTGTCTGATTAACCTGGTCTGGTTCACATGTGTATAAATGTTCCCTCTCGTATCATGTTCCTTTGAATTGTTAAACACAGTATCTGTTGTGTTGTCTGAACCTTTTCACAATCATTTTTCAAATCTCATGTTCTATTTCATTTCTTTGGACAGAATGAGGAAGGATGAGCTTGGTGCCATCTCAGGACCAAATGAGTTTGCAGAGTTCTACAACAGACTGAAACAGATAAAGGAGTTTCACAGAAAGCATCCGAATGAGGTAGTTCATCTCTGTGAGTTGTGAGCTGTGCTCTGTTAATTTTCATAAGCTGAATATTAACAATGTTGTTGTGTGGATTTGTTGTAGATTTCCATTCCGATGTCTGTAGAGTTTGAAGAGCTGATGAAGGCCAGAGACAACCCCAGCGAGGAGGCTCAGAGTAAGAACAGATTCACTGTAAATAAAGTTGATGTAGTTGGTTCTGTCTCTCTAAAACAGTCACTTTCTAAGAAAGACGCTGTGTGGAGCAGTTAGACACAGAAATGCATCATTAGTATTCCTTTAGGCTATACTGTAGTGTGACACAACATGGCAGAGCACTGATGCTTAAATTAGCACACAAGTGCTGCTGGCTAGATTTTTATGGACACTGACGTTACCTTCTGGTAGGTAGCCTACCATCATTTGGATGTGCCCTAGTTTAAAGTAAATAAGTTAATATTGGTGTTCTGTAACAGACGATTACAACTGAGGGAAATTGTTTTTCTTCCACAGACCTGGTGGAGTTCACTGATGAGGAAGGATACGGCCGTTACCTCGATCTCCACGACTGCTACTTGAAGTACATCAACTTGAAGGGAGCTGAGGTTGGGATATTTTAAATCTGCATCATTTAACTCTTCACGTTTCTTTGATTTTTTAAAATCCAATATCTCTCCTTTGTTTTTGTTCAGAAACCAGAGTATATCGCGTACCTGTCTGCGTTCGACCAGCTCTTTGACATCCCCAAGGACAGAAAAAATGCTGAATACAAAAAGTAGGTCCATCATGTTTATTCCAGAAGTGACCACTGAGTCCTGAGTGGAAAATATTGTTGCCTTCAAATGGAACAAGTGAGCACGTAGTTACATTGTGGGTAGTGGTGTACTGTGGTGTGGTGGCTGTGCCATGGGTCCAGGTGGTTGAGTTGTGTGAACACCCCTGCTATCCAACAGCAACATGGGCGCCGATATAAGTGTGACTGCCGTTGTCTAGTAATAAACAGTAAAGCCAGCAAGCAGGTTGGTCATGTAATGCATACATTACCATGTATTCAATTATCATCCAATGGAAAAATTAATTACCATGTCATTTGGCATTTGTAAAAGTCAGCAAACTTGTAAAGCCAGAGCTTTCAGAAATTTCAGAGGTTAAAACCACAAGAGAGAGGCATTCATATAGATCCTTTTGAACATGTTTAACTTGAGCCTATTTGAAGTCAGCAAATATCCAGCTGTTGAGACCACAGACTGTAAAGATGGACTATGTGTCTTCATTTCCTCCTGTTGTACAAAGATAAAACCAGGGTGTCTCTGATCTGGCGCTGCCATGTTGCACATTTGATGTCTTGGAGTCGATTCATACACTCAACCAATTACAAATCAGTCTCAGCTGTCAATCATGACATTTCCATTTTTAATTGAAACCAAACTCAGAAACATGGACACTTAAAATTACACAAACCAACTTTGGGGGAAAAGGGTTAGTATTAAATTTAAACATTGAGTTTTT